CATAGGAACAGAGCTGGAACCTGTAGAAGGGAATCCATACAGATGTATTTGGAAACTAAGCTGCTGGAGACTGGCAGAAAAGGTAAGAAGCATGTAGTTGTAATAGATTCTGTTTAAGGATTTTTTTTCTGTCATTGACTTTCAGTAGATATTGGATTGTATCCAACAGTGTCTCTCAGCTGAACAGAAAGGAAAGCAATTTCCAACTATTCCCTCTGCAGTTGCCCACATCTCCCTAAAACTGTTCTGGATGTTACCGCAACCCTCTGCAGCAGATCTGGGCAGTTTTGTGGCAGCTGAAGGATGAATAACTGAAAATTGCTTCCTATTCTATATCATTGGTGGAAGTCTTACTGTTGCTGGATATAATCTATTGCCACTAAATTTCTAACCATATCATTAGCTTGGCTTAAACAGACCTGAAGGTAAATAGTATTTTATGCAATAGCTAATCAATTGCTATTAATAGAAATTGTTAATTTTTTAACAAATAAGGAACTGGAGACGGAGTGGTAGCCAATGCTAGTCCTACTCGGAGTAGACCTATTGAAGTTAATGGTTCCTGTATTAGGTGCTGAATTAAGTATACTGGTGGTGGCTTATGTATTTGATTAACTAACTAATGCTATATTACTAACTGTTCTCTGAACCTTTCAGAAGATACTGAGTATCATGATTGAGTTAATTAGTGTTTGGTACATTTCTTAAATAGCTATAAACAAAATATAATGATCACAAATAAATATTTTTGAACAATTTTAGGAACAGTTTGACAAATACGAGAGAGCAATCTATGCAGCACTCAGTGGAAACCTCAAACAGGTATGATATATATTAATAAAATAACATCTTGTTGTGACAGCTTAGCAGAACGGAGAATGGCCAACACATAGGCTGCTGTGACTGGGAAACTCTAAAAAGTATAGTGTGCTTTTGGGACTTTCAGGGCTTCACAAATAGGGTAGATTCCTTCCTTTTACACCAGAAGATGGTGCTCGGAATTTACTACAGCTAAGTTTGTGCTTGCTTGCAGTAGCAGGCAAACAAGCTAGTCTAGCCTTTATTTGTACTCAAAAACTCTTAACATTTTAATGACATTTTGAATACAGTTCTCTTGAATTTCCTATTAATTCTTAGCATTATTAATGATTTCATATAGAGATAAATAACATAAGTTGGGACTAGCACACGTGCATTGCGATATGACAAGCTTCTTGGCATGCAGCTTGTTTCTGTCATAATAAGCAGTGGCTTACATTGAAATCTGAATGCATCCAGGCTAGCTCACATCTTTTGTTAATACAGTCATACCTGGGCTAAATATGCTTCGAGTTGAGTGTGTTCGAGTTGTGCTCCTCGACAACCCGGACGTAACGGAGCGCGTTATTTCCGGGTTTCGCCGTTTGCACATGCGCAGACACTCAAAATGACGTCATGCGCAGAAGCAGCGAAAAGCGACGTGCGCAGACGTGTCATCGCTAGTTACGTTTACCTCTAGATGCGAACGGGGCTCAGGAACGGACCACATTGGTATCTAGAGGTACCACTGTATACTTATTCCAGAACTATTAATTTTGGCTCTCTATTTTCCTTTGCAAACCTAAAGCTTCTTCCAGTTTGTGACACCTGGGAAGATACAGTTTGGGCACATTTCAGGATCATGGTGGACACACTTGTCGAACAGGAAATCCGTTCATCGGTGATGACCACAGAGGAGACAGAAGACCTCCCCAGAGAGTATTTAGAAACAAAGTAAGTTATTATTTGTTACTTAATTAGCCATTATTTAATATTCAATTAATTGCCGTTTCACTTACGTGTTTGAATGTATTTTTTTCTTTATATTTTGAAGCTGGACTTTAGAAAAGGTGTTTGAAGAACTTCAAGCAACAGATAAAAAGGTAATTTTGAATCTTAATCAGAAGAGAGAAAACCTTTTTTCTTTTATTGTACACTTCTACAAGGCAGTCCTGTATATGTTTACTCAGAAGTAAATTCCTCTGTCTTCAGTGGGGCTTGTTTCCTGGTAAATAGATATGGGAGTGCAGCCTTAATCCTAATTAGTAAATATAATCCTATAACATAAACCTAAATAGTTAGTTAGCCCAAAAGTCTGTAGGCAGTTCTGTACTATGAAATTTACCTAGGTCTCAGGAAAGTGTTTCCCTAGTAATCTTACCTTTTTTGGCTATCGCTTGTTGATCATGCATATTGGATGTACCTGAACCTCAGAATACAGGCAATTCCTTGTTTGTGCGGAGTTTGTGTTGTGGGACATTGCGCTTGTCAGCAGTTGTGCATAAGCCTGTCCCACCCCACTCCAGTGCCAAAACCAGTGCGCACATCACAGTCACTCGTCAATCAGATGTGCACAAAATGGTTGCCTCCTGTATATCCATTCTGGATGAAAATAAGAACTTAATGTTCATATTTTCTAAAAATAGGATGATGGTTATTTCAGCAACTTACCAATAGGTCATCTTCTCCCTGCTTTTCTTTTTTATTCTGTATTGGTTTGTTTTTTTACTTTTGTATTTATTTCTTCTCTATTTTACCTTGTTTTTATTTAAAATGGAGGTGAATAAAATAAAGATTTAACCATGTGTTCTGCAAAGAAGTACTTCCTCTTTTGTTTTCTGAATCTTTATGAATATATGGTGTGTCTTCACAAATTATAAACTGCTTTTCAGAGAGTTTTGGAAGAGCATCAAGAACATTATCATGTGATTCAGAAGTTCATTATCCTGGGAGATGTGGATGGTAAGTTTGCTTTGAGTGTTTTTTCCAGCAATAATTGAACTTTCACTAATTTTGTCTTATGCTGTGCCTCAATGGCAGCTGTTTTATGATTAGTGCCCACAGCACTTTCTTGAAATTTAAGGTGTGCCTGCAGGTCCAAAAAGGGTGGTGACCCCTGATTTACACTATCCATTTAAAGCAAAGCACAGCAAGCCCCCCCCCAAATATCTGTTTATTAGTGGTAAGGTGAATTGAAACTTATTTTCTCAGGTTTGATGGAAGAATTTAACAAATGGCTCTCCAAAGACAGAAATCTGCTCCCAGGACACCTGCTTCGGTTCATGACACATCTCATTTTATTTTTCCGCACTTTGGGACTACAGACTAAAGTAAGTTCTTGTAATGGTGCCTGGAATATAGGAAAGAACTGGTAGTTCCTCTCCTTTCACTTGTGCTACCTAATCATTCTTTTTCTCCAGCTACCAAGCTGGGTTTAAGAGCTTGATGGGAAGGGAAACAGACCAGAGCAACACAACAAAGAGAAAACTTTTTGCTAGTGATTCTTTAGTGGCTTCTTCCCCTCCCCATTTTGCTAGTAGTAAAAAGAAGCATGCCATATTCGGCATGTAATGCTAGTTTAATTAAAAATAGTAGTCTGAGAACTGTTTCAACAGAAAGCACCTATACATCGCAATTGATATTTGACTATAAAGCACTTATGGAGAACCGTATTGAGCTGACAGGCTACTTAGACAGGTGAATGAGGTTGCTCATCTGACATTAAGTGAAACATTACCCTTTGCAAATATTCTTTGTTCCTTTGCATGGATCAGCTGCACACATCAGCTCTGATCAGGAGCTCACAATCCCAGCAGGCTAACATTTGGCTCTGGATTTAAAGTCCTGGATGCAAACCCCTACTTGCAGCAGGGATCAGTTCCACTTAGGAGAGCCAGTCCCAGGGGGGCTTGCATTTGACACCAAATGCAAGCCCCCACTTGCAGAGGAACAATCAGGAGTGCACTTGAAGGCTCCACATTGTTCCTTTGTAGCCATGGCTTTCCCTGCTCTACATCTGATGATATGTCAAACATGGAGGGGGGTGACCTCACGGGCCAAGTTGGCCTTGGGGCTGGAGATTCCCCATGCATGCTATAAAGAATAATTTTCAATATGTATTTTTCCACCATAATTTGTCAGTTGTTTTTGTCTAGTTAAATGGTTTCCTTTCAAGTAAAGTTTGGGCTAAGCAAGAAACCCATAACGTTTTGTGTAGATATAGAATAATGAGGGAATGGTAAAAAAGATGTATTTCTGTGTAAGCAAACAATATCTGTACCTCTACAGCGGGAGTAACCTGCTGATTAAGGGAAAATCAGGTCCTGTTGTACAAGTAAATATCCATAAAAGAACTAAAGCCTTTCTTGTCTGTGAGTTAACGTCAGTATCCTCATAGTCTTCATTTTCTGTCTATCCCTGAAACGTGCAAGGTTAATATAATAAAACTCCAGTTGTAATGTAACAAATTTCCAGTTTTTGCTGATGCTGCAAAGCTATTCTCCTTCCCAGAGGTATTAATATGGAATGACTGATAATTAAATATCATACGATAAAAATAGTGTCACCTGTTATAGAATGCCTGACATCTGACAATGCTCAACTGTAACTCATTTGGTTCCAATCTAGACTCAGTCATTGGTCTTAAAGAGACCTGGATGAAACTAGCGGTTTTCAGATAGTATAGAAAGGTAACAGTGACTTGGAAATTTAATTGACATTCTTAAGTAATGTTATTAAACCTAGTAACTTTTTCCATTAAGGAGGAAGTATCGGTGGACGTTTTGAAAACTTACATTCAGGTAAGTCTTTACATGCAATATATCATCTACAATAAGCTCTAAAATTACTAGAACAGTTTTCATTTCTTAAAATGGAAACACAAATAGCAAGCCATTTGCTGAAATATTTTGGCTATTTTTAACACACCTTCACAAGGATGACCATTGTTTATACAAATAGCTTATGGATTGTCTTCGTTACTGCAGAGTGTCATTAGAATAACTGCTGAAAGAAAAAAAAAAGCATTATCAGTTTTTAAAAACATGTAGAGATAAATTATTCTGATTTTCTCTCGTGTGCACAAATGAAATATGAATTGGCAATGCAATAAAACAAATTTCTTTTTAAATTTATTTTTATGCTGCAGTGGTTAATATGTGAGAAGCACACAGATCTTATAGCATTTTATGTCAGCCACTTGCCTCAGGATGTAGCTATTGCTCAGTATGCTGCGTTCTTGGAAGATGTCACGGAGACAGAACAACGTCACCATTGCCTAGAGTTAGCAAAGGAGGCAGGTAAGAAATTTTGTGAATGATTTATTTGGGAGTGGTATTCTCTTTTCCTGGGGAACATTTAATTACATCTTCTAAGTGGGCAAGTATTATTAAGCAGCTATGTCCAAGTTGCAGTATTTCAGTCGTCGTAAACTACCAATTGAATTCAACTAACTTTTAGTCTAGGTACACAAAATGAAATTAATACACCTAAGTTAGTCACAGGTCCACTCTGAGTAATAGTTTGAATACAAAACTATAAATAATTTTAAATTTGTTGAGCATTGGATTTAGTTTTGAAGCACCCATAAACTTGTTTTACTTTTTTAAAGAGAGACTCTGCCCTGCTATGAAATTCTCACCACCATTTTCTACAACCCTTTGTTCTTGAAAAATATCAATCTAACCGAACTGAGCATATTTATCAATATTGCTGATGTATCCTTATTGGTACTCCTGCTCAGTGGATGTGCCCTTCTTTTTTCTTTTTGTGACATTTATTTAAAACCAAAATTTCCTCCTATAAATTCCTCCTGTTTCCTCATATCTAACTCTTGTATATTTTTTATTTAAAGGTCTGGAAGTAGCAACTATCACTAAAACGGTTGTTGAAAATATTCGCAAGAAAGATGCTAGCGAGTTCACTCATCATGATCTTGCAATTGATACAGGCACAACAGAGGTGAACAGTGGTGCTAACTGTTTCTTTACACTTTTTCCCCAAATAGAGAATACTGGAAGGGGGGGGATCAGCAGCTGTGGAAGAGATACTCATAATTCTAAAATAAATTGTATCCCTTGTATTCTGTTGACCGCAGTATGTGCCAAGTACTGCTCATAGTATTAGTATTGACATGGATTCAGACCAAAGCTATGGTAAAAGGGGAGAGTTGGGATTATTTTCTCATGTTGCAATTCTTGAGAGCGTTTAATTGTAATTTATGCCGTCCACCAAAATACACATTTGTGCGGCTTTCACCAGTACTTAAACCTTATTTGTGCCAAGATTACCCAAATGTTATGTTCCAAATGAACTGTGGGTGAGGCTGACTAATAGTGAACTGCTAACTTTTCAAACACATCCACTGTTTGAACGTAAAGATTTTGATAGGCATCCATAGAAAAGTTACTACGAAAGTAACTTACTATTAGATTTTATATTAAGAAATCTGTGGTTACCACCCAGAGAGGTACTTTGGACATACCAAGGAGTGTTTGAAAGTCAAAGAAAGCTTTCTCTTTTCTTGGAACTGTAATACCCATGCCTTAGTCACAAATTGTTCTTGAAACACTGAAGATTTAAATGCATTTTGTCGCAATGATGGAAATCTGCTGTTAGAGAAGCATAGGTCTAGTGCTCTGCTTGCCATGCTAAGCTAGTCATGTAGTTCTCTAGATTGTGACCACTGTCTTTAATTTGTTTTGTATCCTCAAAAGCTGACTAGTAAATTTGTTTACAATATATACTGAATAGAGAACTTTTTTTTCTAGGAAGATCAGCTGAAGATTGATGTAATTGACTGGCTGGTATTCAATCCTGCTCAGAGGGCTGAAGCACTAAAACAAAGCAATGCTATAATGAGAAAATTCTTAGGTACTACAATATTAGCCATCAGTTTGAAACTAGAGAAAATATTAAGGAAGTATGATGAATCTGAAAATGACTTACTGATACTCTTTAAATACAGCATCAAAGAAACATGAAGCAGCCAAGGATGTGTTTATAAAGATTCCACAAGACTCTATAGCAGAAATATACAATCAATGGGAAGAGCAAGGAATGGATAGTCCACTTCCAGCTGAAGATGACAATGCTATTAGAGAGCATTTATGTATTAGAGCTTACCTGGTAAGACATATGTCCCAAAAAGAGGTACCTAGAATACCTGCCTTCCTAAGCAGATATGTTGAGTGTGGGCTAACCTTACTCAGACATGAGAGGAATGCACTCTATTCAAGCATATGGACCCTTTTAAAAAAAAAACCACTAATATTCTAGAGCCGGGCCCCATCTTCTCTAAATCAGTGGTCTTCAAATGCATATTTAATATTAGTCTGTCAAGGATCAGGATGTCAACAAACCCATTACTATGTCTACCTGTGTACACTTACCTACATGAAAATGACTAAACATTTCCAACCCAATTTAGGAAGCCCATGAAGCCTTCAATGAATGGTTTAAACACATGAACTCGGTGCCACAGAAGCCTGGTCAGCTTTTACAAGCAAGTTTCACTGAAGAAGTTGCCTATGAACTTAAGGAGAAGAAATATGAGGTAAATAGAAAGGAAAAGTAAAATTCTCCCATCCATCCATCTTGCCAATTGGCTAACCCTGTGCTAGCAAGATCACATATGTGATGCCCTCCAGATGTTGGATGACAACTCATATCAACCTTGAATGATCGGCTGTGCCAGCTAGGACTGATGGAAGTCGTCAAATTGAACTGAATAGACCCAGTTCATAATATCATTAACAAGCGGGTAAGACAAAACTCTGGGTTCCACTTCATTGGCAAATTTAACTCCACATTGACACTGCAGTTAAATAACCAGCAATCTGCTGCTCTTTGCAGAAGAGAGGCAAACTGTTAAAATTGTGCGGTGTGGTAGAATGTCAGCTGCACCACTTACTCTGTCTGGAACAACCTGTGCTGGAACACTCCCATTCTGAGCTTATTCTTAACTTAATGGAAAAGCATGCAATACATTGTGGTGAAGAAACAATGTGTGATATGAAGATTTGAAAGATTCAGTTTAACTTTTCTTTTTCAGATGGACTATGGTATTTGGAAAGGTCTCCTGGATGCCCTTACAGCTGATGTGAAAGAAAAAATGTACAATGTCTTACTGTTTGTTGATGGAGGATGGATGGTTGATGTCAGAGAGGTAGTGCATACATATTTGAAGTAGACTGTGAAGCTGCCCCTACCCAGTAATAGGCTAGCAGTATTGCTTCCCAGGCTAACATGCTGCAGTGCCGTTGCTTAGTTTTCGTTTACCTAAGGCTTGATTGCTGATTTGGTAATGCTTGTTCCGTGGAAAACCTAGGAATATTTAACATTTATTTAAGAAATAACTGCAAGATGGTTTTAAAATGCTAATATTTTACTCAAACTGTAAATTTGACTTATTGCAGTATCTTCTAATTTGGCTAGTTTTTGGAGGTCAGCATCCTAAGACTATATGAAGAGCCCTGTTGGGTCAGACCAAAGGCCTATCTCATCCAAAGTTCTGTTATCTCAGTGACCAATTATCTACCTATGGGAAGCCCACAAGCAGGACATGAGCGCAACAGCGCTGTCTTGGTTGTGATTCCCAGCAACTGGTATTCAGAGGCATACTGCCATTGATACTGGAGATAATATAATCTTCATGACTAGTTGCCACTGATAACTTCCCATGACAGTTGTGTTGGTGCAGGATTTAGCATTATGATGTTTCAATTTTGAGTTTCCATATGATTGTTAACTAAGTTTGTTAAAACTGAATTTGACACTTCTGGTTAAGACTATTCCACACTTTCTTACCAAGGGTGCTGAAGATGACCCTGAGCGTACCCATCAGATGATCATGCTGCGAAAACTCTGTTTGCCAATGATGTGCTTCCTCCTTCATACTGTATTGCATAGCACAAGACAGTATCAGGAAGACCTAAGGCTTGCTGACTTGATTTCATCAGATCGACATAAACTCTACATGGTAAGTTCATTTGCTTTAAGTTTTAAATACTCTGCTTGCCTATTTAGCTGAAAGAATCCACACTGCAACAAGCACTTTTGTCTTATTGTCTGTATTTGTCAAATTCCAGAGCACACAATACATTAGTCACACTATCAAATAGTGTTTAAAATTTCTGGGAAGAAATTGGGTGTGGCACACATCCAACACTGCAGCTCTGCTGGCACAAGGAGCTTAGGTGCGCATAACAGAACTTCCTCTCCAGACACTTGCATACCCTCAAAATTAGCTGTGAAGAGTTGGTTGACCTTTCAGAGCAAATCTGGAGGGGGTGCAGGGCAACCTAAGTCTTATAGCACTAGTGGAACCCTGCTGGTACAGTACTGGATACAACACTATATGTTTATTTGGGGGCTTTCTTTTAGCACTTCCAAGATAAATTGGAATAATGCAGGACACTAGTACACTAACAGAATAAAGGAACAGACAGTCTCAGTCAGTATAGCACCCATGAGAGTGAACAGTCCTTATGGCTATGTAATTTAATGGGGGGGTTTTCGAGAAAGCCAACTTTCTAGGCAGGGGATGCACAGGGAATGCAGGGTTGTATATTTTTTTGGAGAGTATCTTTTTAAAAAGCATTTCTGAACTAAATTCAATTAAAATTCTCAGCCCCATGTTTTAGGATTATTGTAGATAAAATACCATCACCTTTTCCTGTAGTTAGACTGCTTACCTTTTTCCTCATATAATAAATGCTTACAGAGGCATCTGTATCTATAACCTTAAGTTATTCTTATCTTCCTCTTCAGGTATTTTCTAAGGATGAACTCCAGAAGCTGCTGCAGAAGCTAAGGGAGTCTTCCCTCATGCTTTTGGATCAAGGTCTTGATCCTCTTGGATATGAAATCCAGTCTTAGTTCTAGGTTATAAAAATAATGTTGAATGGTGGCACAAGTAAATGTAAGGTTGGGCCCAAAGGTTCTCATACTCCAGGTGAAAGGGGAAGGAAACCTTTGATTCAACCCACAAAGTTTGGCATAAAAATTTTGTTTTAAAGATGTTGCTGTGCATTGACACTAGCAAAATGACTTTCTATGTATGTAAAATGACAAACTGTTTTGGCATTTGTATTTTTTCCAATAAAATTTGAAATGACTGGTTTACTATGAAATACATATCTTTAGCACATAAATGTGCAAAATGCACTATAAATAGATGCCTCGTTTGCTAGATCACATGGTTGAACCTTCACAGCTGTTCATGAGTATAGCTTACTGTCTTCCAGGTAAAATCCTGTTGCCTGTGCACCTTTTCTCAGAACAGAAGCCCTTCTCCATATTCAGCCTGACAACCAAAGGCTTTGTGTGACTTTCAAGTGAGAGTGAAGCATTCCAGATATATACATGTATTTATATAAAACACTGCTGCTTAAAACAATGGAGGCTTAGGATGCAAGCATCACTGGGATTCCAGCCTTGGTGTCGGGCTACTTACTTGACAGAATTTCTGATTATCAAGAAAAAGTACCCATAATCCATTGCAAGGACAGATTGAAAATTTAGGGTGCAACCCTAGCTCACACCACTCCCCAGTGGGGCTAACTGGAGCTTGGAGCACCATATTGGCAGCCCTGCCAAGCATGCTAGCTGGGAAAGAAGGTGAGGAGGCAGGCACACCAGCTTGGAGCTGGCATAGCACTTTGGCCCAGTGCTGTCAAGATCCTGAAGTGGCTCAGTGTGGGAAAATGATTGCTTGTACATGAGAGCATGAGCAAAGTTCTTATTGTTACAGGGTGATTTCATAGCTAGAAGCATCCTTGGAGCATGAACAGCGCGTGAACAGCTCGTGCTGTCCCATATGATTGGCTAACGTAGCATGGCCTGATCGCTCGCATGGTCTAGTACCAAGGTCTTTATCTGCTGGCTAGAACAAATTGCTTGGCTTGTATTTTTTGTATCTTTCTTTGTATCTTTCTATTTCACACAATAAAAGCTGTGCTGCATTAGCCCTAGGAGCAGCCATATTTCGGAACCTATCTTGGTGTGAGACTGATTTTCCTCTGGATGCCGAGCTGCAACTCGACAATTCCTTTGAATCCACCTGAAGGTTTTGATCCATGGGAGTGGTTGTCTTCTTGGTTACCTAATGGAGTATGGTTAAGAAAAATATTATTGATTGTAATTGCATGTATTGCTGGCTTCATTATGGTGTGTTGTTGTATTCAATGCATACCCTCTTTGATTTCCCAATGCACTGCATGGTGGTACCGACCACGGCCCACCACAGGGGTTACAAGAGGAATTTATGTTGCAAAGTGTAGACGCTTAGGCAATGAAGTGTACGATTTGGACTGATGGTCCCTCTTTTCCTCTAATAATATAAACAAGAAAAGGGGATATGTGGGAAAATGATTGCTTGTACATGAGAGCATGAGCAAAGTTCTTATTGTTACAGGGTGATTTCATAGCTAGAAGCATCCTTGGAGCATGAACAGCGCGTGAACAGCTCGTGCTGTCCCATATGATTGGCTAACGTAGCATGGCCTGATCGCTCGCATGGTCTAGTACCAAGGTCTTTATCTGCTGGCTAGAACAAATTGCTTGGCTTGTATTTTTTGTATCTTTCTTTGTATCTTTCTATTTCACACAATAAAAGCTGTGCTGCATTAGCCCTAGGAGCAGCCATATTTCGGAACCTATCTTGGTGTGAGACTGATTTTCCTCTGGATGCCGAGCTGCAACTCGACAGCTCAGTCCTTAGGCCCTGCCCCTGGAGTGCCTTGTGGGGGTCTATTTGCTGCTGGTGGGGAAAGGAGGGGGCTGTGAAATGAGTGGTTCCTACAATTTCCATAATTGGTGAGAAATGGTTTAAACTGTCCATCCTGTTTGCTTAACAAAAGGGCGAAAGGCTTTTGATAGTAAACCATTATTTGAACCTGACCATCTCTGTCCACAGTCTCATTGAGGTGAGTATCCTGTACTTGACAACTAAATTTGCATGTGTTAATCCTTAAGTCAGATGTGTGTGAACTCAGGATATTCCTGAATGCCTTTCAGTAGGGAGCTGGACTCAGGCTTTTTCCACGGTCACTAAAACTCATCATGGAAGGTCTCATGTCATATTAGAATTATGTCAACCTTATACTTATGCCATGATTTACAGAGATAAACTATATAAATTCACATTAACACACCTCACACTGTTAATTCATAGACTCATAGACTGTACGTTGGAAGGGACCCTAAGAGTCATCTAGTCTAACCTCCTACAATGCAGGAATCTTTTTGCCCAGTGTGGGGCTCAAACCCATGACCCTGAGATTAGGAATCTCATGCTCTACCAACTGAGCAACTACAGGCAAACATAATTCCATGTGATAATGTAAACAACATGGACTCTACTAGAATACTGTTATGTTTATTTGTATCTCACATTTTCCTCCAGACAGGGATAAGGATATGACAAAATCTATTGTAGTAAAAAAACACCCATTGTTTTTCTAGTTCACAAACCTTCTTGCTTACAAGTCTCCTTATAAACACAAAATGACTGGTAGGTGCCAGTGAGTGTGTATATTTATGCAGGCAACTTGTATTATTGTAAGTCAAAAGTATCATTTATGAGGCGGCTTTAGCTCACCCTCAAATTTTGGTATTTCTTCAGTAATCCCTCTAATAATGACCTTGAGTAGTTGAGTGCCTATCAGTTTGGAAACAAAAGAGTCAGACCTATTTAAGTATAGGTAAATATATATATATTTAAGTAAATATATATATATTAAAAAACAACAACACCCTGATATGGACCTGTGCCCTTCCAAATCGTTCTTGGCAATTCAGCCCATGGAAATGCCTCCAGTATTTTGTCTCTTACCCCATTGCCTGGAACTGAAAGATTCTGCAATGCCTGAAGCAACCTGTCAACTTGAGACCCTCCAGCTTCTTTTGGACATCCAACTCCCAATGGTCAGGACGGATGGGAGTTTGGGGTGGGGGGTTTATCTGGAAGGCCGCTATAAAATAACAAATACATCTTAAAGAGTTTCAGCCATGCACCACCTTTGCTGGCTACGCTGTCAAACGGGGAAGGAGCCGTTTTTTTCCCCGTTGCCCAACGGTTTTCAGTCGTCCCGTTAACTCCTTTGCCCGAGAGCCAGCAACTGCGGCACAACAGGGCTGCGATAAGGCGCCTTCTGCAGCGCGTGGCCGTTAAACAGCCGTTAAGGGAGTGGCGTTCGAAACGTCGCTCGAACGCGCGAGTTCACCTCAGGGGCGGCAACGGTCCCGCTCGAATTTTTCGAGGCGCGTTCGCAATTCCGCACAGGCGCATAGCTGTCAACTTTTCCCTTTTCTTGCGAGGAATCCTATTCGGAACAAGGGAATTTTCCTTCAAAAAGGGAAAAGTTGACAGCTTCTCGGAGGGAGAGGCGGAGGCTCTTCTCCGCTAAGCCTGCCAGAGGGGCGGGACTCCTCCCCACGTGAGTGTCTGAGGGGAAAGAGGGCCGCCGTGAGGCGAGCCGCTTCTTTGCCAGGGCGGAGCCGCCGGCCTGTTGGCCCCGGAAGATCCTACGCCCGGAGCCACGTGGCCCGGTAGTGGGCGGGCGAGGCGGTGGTAGTGGTGGCGGCGGCGGGCAGTGCTGCTGCTGCTGCCGCCGCCGCCGCCTACCACCCAGGAGCGGTGGCTACTGCGGCTGCCTCGCCGGTTGCGGACGAGGAGCTGGGCCCGGAGGCCGGCGGCAGCATGGGCCCGGCGTTGGAGCGGGGCCGCCTGGCGGCGGGTCTGCTGGTGAACTTGGCGGCGTCCATCTGCATCGTGTTCCTGAACAAGTGGCTGTACGTGCGGATGGGCTTCCCCAACCTGACGCTGACGCTGGTGCACTTCGCCGTCACCTGGCTGGGGCTGTACGTGTGCCAGGCGCTGGGCATCTTCTCCCCGAAGAGCCTGCGGCCCCGCCAGGTGCTGCCCCTGGCGCTCAGCTTCTGCGGCTTCGTGGTCTTCACCAACCTGTCCCTGCAGAACAACACCATCGGCACCTACCAGCTGGCCAAGGCCATGACCACGCCGGTCATCGTCCTCATCCAGAGCGTGGCTTACGGAAAGACTTTCCCCGCCCGCATCAAGCTCACCCTGGTGAGGAGAAGGGCGGGAGCCAGAGAGAGGGGAAGGAAGGGCGGGTGGGGGGCCATTCCGCACCAGCAGAGCGGCCCCCGAAACCCTTCCTCAGGCCCGGGGGGAGGGAAAGGGGAGCCAGCCGCTCTCGCACGTCCAGGCGATCGCTGCCCTCAAACACTTTGAGCCAACTCCGAGGGGCCGAGGGGTCTTCGTCCCCCACCCAATGAAATATTTGAGCCCCCCCCCATTTAATAGGCATTGCCATTCAAATAGTGATCATGCGATCGACCCATAATTTAATTCAAGTTGGCACCCCTACGCACAAAAAAAAACAGAGCTTTGGCTTCTGAAGGGATACCCGAAAGCCTCTCCCGCCTTTTTTCCTGTCCCAGTTTATGAAGGCCGTTAATTCATTCTGCACAGGCTCAGAGGCCCTTTCTTTTTCTTACTGCGTTTGCCCTAGGTAGGCTTGCTGCCGAATAGGAGGGCCTGGCGCAGACGACCCTGCTCGCTGGTCCTGAGTGAAAGAATCGGATTGCCCGTTTCTAATGCAGGGAAGTGATGTTCCGGGAAGGCAAATGCCTTCTTGGTCCAGTCCTGTTAAATAAGGGGTGACCCTTCCCTTTTTCAAAAGCATAGTGCAGTATGCTGGTCTTCTGAAGCTCATGGAGAAGGTGGACAGCTGAGGTTGTGAAGTATAGGAGATAAGAAAGGTTAGGAAGTAGTGAGATGTCTGCATTTTCAATATCAGTGCATTTCAGTTAAGAATTGCTAACCATGCTGTTAAATATTTTTATTTATAAAAGTATATGCCGCTAAAGCACAAAGCATATCAGAGCAGTTTACAACACTGAAAAGATAAAAACCATACAACAGAGAGGCATAAAAAGCTAGAAAAGCATATAAACCTCCCCAATTAGGGCTGTTCCCTGATTTAATAAATCTTAATTGTTTGGGTTGTAGTAAATTAATATGTTGGTTGAATTTGCATAAACTTCCATAAGAGCAAAAAAATAAAAATAGCATTGAAACAAAAATTACACTTGAGTTTTAGATTATGTATGTTTATTTCCTCAGATGTGTCATAGCCAATATATTCGTGAGCTGCATGTGATGCAATTGCTACAGCACTTGTGCAAAATAGTGGTCTTTTAGGCTGTTTCTTGAAGAAAATCTTGTATCTCACCAGAAACTTGCCCAATGTTCTGAGTAGGAGATGCATTTTTAGTGGTAACTGCTTTCATTTCAATAGCATTGCTTATGTGTGACTTTTATTGGTGGTGTTCTTTTTCTTCCATCAAATTATATATTGATACAGCATCTCTGGACGTGACAGCTGAAGTTTGGACTTTGAGGCTTATAGATAAGAAAAGTTTTGTTCTGTTGAATTGTATGAGCAGCAAATGTAACATTCTTTTTCCTTTCCTTTACAGATTCCTATTACTTTAGGCGTTTTCCTAAATTCCTATTATGATGTAAAATTTAACTTTCTTGGCATGGTATTTGCTTCCCTCGGTGTTTTAGTTACATCTCTTTATCAAGTGGTAAGTAAAAAAAAAAAATGACCTTTTATCTTATGCAGTTTTTGATTCAAAATAATAACTGTCTTGATGTAACACTCCTAAATCTTCTACCTTTTTTCTGGCTATCTCAGAGGGCAGGTCCTCCACTAATATATTGTTGTGCATTTACCACTCCTGACAACTGTAAAATACGAAACCGTGGTCATTGACACCAAACTATTTGTCTGCAAGCAGTAGGCAAATGTGTATTATGTGGTGACATTCTTTATTTTGGGGTTAAATATACAATATTTATTCAAAGTGAAATCTGGATTTTAAACAAACCAACAAATTAACATTTTCACGCTTACAGTCTCATAAAACTCAATCATGGCCATCTCTCAAACACATTGATTTAAAGGCTAGTTTTCTGTGTAAAAAGAAATAGAGGGAAATGTCTGAAGTTAGGTCTTATAAGTGATATATGAGCTTATAGCCCTAAACATACTTACTAGGGAGGAAGGCCCAAAGAACCTAGTGTGGGTTAACTTCTGAATAAACTGGCTAGGATTAAGAGTCCAAAAGGTACCAGACACAATGGGGATGAGAGAGGGGATACTTGAATTTAAGTTGCTTTTTTTTCTAAAAGGAAGGAGTCTCTGTTCTGATCTTGTACAGGGAACAAGCAATTTAGGCGCATTGAATATAAAACCCTGTACAATTCTGGACCAGGTTACCTGAGACAGACTTCCCCTCCATTGCCCAGTAACAGCTTTAAAATCAACAAATGGAAACTGGTTAATCTTGTCCTGGCCTGATAGTTTGTGCTGCTGCTGAGGTGGGTTTTTCCACTAGTGGCACCAGTGTTATGGAATGCTGAAATACAAGAGGTTCCATCTGTGTTAGTGTTCTGCTAGCTTTTGAAAAGTGCACAGGCATCCCCTTGATCTCTTGACCCAAGTCACCTGTTTTAATTGCTGTGGAGTTTTAATTGAATTATTTTCTTTTGTATTTAATTGTGGGTGTTGGTATAAATAGTTTTTATACTTTGCAAACTACTTAGAAGCCTATTTTGACACTAAGCAGTATATACATGAATAAATCAAAATCAGAGCCCAGCCATGTTTGCAAGCTTATTTAGAAGTCTTGGCCTCCAAGCACCATCTTGATTCATATAATTGCATATGAAGAGATCCAACAGAGATCTCTAAGCAGCCACAATTTTGCAGCTTCTGTGTACTGCAAGATTAAAAAAATAATAAATTATATGAAGTAGTTGCAAACCAATATCTTTTGTTATAACCACCAGTTAAAATTAATGCTTGTTCAGGAAGTAATTTGACTCCGTAGTTAAACATGGCATTTTTTTCTTGATGATCTAAACCTATGCTGAATCTCTCAGAAACCCAAACCCTGTGTCATTTAAGCCTGTGTAAAGAAAAATCCATTGATGTTCCAAAGGTTTCAGCTTTCCTCCCAAATTTGGATAAATTGGGCTTAGCTGTCCTCTAATGTACGTATAGATTTTTGTTAATGTATATATCTATGTTACCATTTTTGTAGAAGGCGCTAAAAGATTCCTTACAACTTACTACACTTGGATGTCACAGGTTATTAATGTATTTTTCTTGATTTTAGTGGGTAGGAGCGAAGCAACATGAGCTACAGGTAAACTCTATGCAGTTGCTGTACTATCAAGCTCCCATGTCTTGTGGCATGCTGTTGTGTGTCGTTCCCTTCTTTGAACCAGTATTTGGCGATGGTGGAATATTTGGTCCCTGGACACTTTCTGCTGTGGTAAGCCTTTGTTTTGTGTCTGCCTTTTAAAAAAAAATGTTTGATCCTGCATATTTGAGTAGTATCTTCAAAATGACAATCCATAGTAACAGTGGTGCTCCAAGTAGAAACTGCTTAGCCAAATATAATTTCTGGAGCATCCACTTCAAATAGAGGGTGGGGGAGTGTCCCAATTTTTTCAGTTACAGTCTGGCCTAAGTAAGTAAATCTGGACATGCAGTTACTGGAATCATGGGGAATTTTATGAAGAAGGTCCAGCTACTCATGAACTCTAAAGCCCATAGAGGTCAGTGCAGCTTATACCACCCAAAATACAGGTGTAATTAAATTCACTCTATAGGAGTTGATGGAAGGGCAGTAAAGTAATGTCTACCCTTCCCCAGCCACAGACCTCTTGGGCAGAAGCAGCAGGGCTTGATTTACACAGAAGATATGCCAACATATCTGCCCCTAGTGTATCTACCCTGCCCATCTCATTGTAATCCTGTATGAATTTACTTGGAGGGAACTGTACCAGATATAATGGGAGTTTACTTCTGAGTAAACATAGCATAGAACTGCATTCTGCTCTCTAGTAATAAGGCTGCAAAGTTGATGGTTCTATCCTCCTTGGGAACAGGTAT